TCGGGCATGGGCCACGGTAATGTCTATGCCGTGAGGTCGGCGTGCAGTTTGGTGCATGCGAGAGAGGAATGCATCGTGTGCGTGCGTGTGTCGACGCAGGAAGCGAGAGGAGTGAGAGGAGCGAGAGAGAGAGAGAGAGAGAGAGAGAGAGAGAGAGAGAGAGAGAGACACGAGTCCGGGTCATTCACGAGTCTCGCGTACGCTCTCACATTCATGCATTGTGCCACGCCAAGAATTGCCGGTGGCATATTGGATGCGGGAGGAGAGGGGGAGGGGGAGGCGCGAGCGCGACGGAGATTCCTCTCATGTGTTTAAGCGCCGTTAACGTCGCGTACCGTAATCCTGTTTCACGTTTTCGCGTCGCATCGCGTCGGTCGCCCCTCGTGCTTTCAAACGTAATTAAAGCGCCTCTCTTTCTCTTGCTAAATGTCCCGTGAGCCTCCGAGAGAATCAACAGTCAATCTTGTGCCTCTTTAGGAAGTGGCTCTTGAGAACGTCGAATTAGTACTACTTGGCAGTGAAACAAAAGGTTTACCGAAAGTAGAAATTTGTTTCACCAGCGACAGTTACGAGGGTCGATAATTAGTAAGCGTTTGGAGCTTGATCTGATGTATAAATAAAAAAAAAAAACTTCATTTTTTACGATATTTCTTTCACAATTTTTCACCGGGGCGTTGCTTGGCTGGAAATTTAATTTAAGGCTTTGTTTGAATGTTAAGATTCTTAACGTCGAGAGGAAAAAAACGCGTGAAACGAAATAAAGTAAACGTTTCACGGATAATTCTCTTAAGCAGATAGCAGTTTTTATCTCGGTAAGGAGAGGAACCGCATTAAAATATTAATCGCGCACTTGAACACAGCACGAAGCGAGAATCTCGGCTATATCCGTGCACGCGGCGACTGCTGCAAAAATGCGAAGTTCGAGCGGGGCGAACCAAAGAAATCACTCTCGCCCGGCTCTTCGTACCGTTCAACGAAGTCTCCTTCTCGTTGAAAACTTTCCTACGGAAGTTTTTTTCCTTACTCTCTTCAAGTTCTCCTTCGGTCTCTCAGCACTTCGTACGTAGGGCGGCGTGCACCCTCTCTGTGTATATCTATATAGATCTATATATAAAGAAAGAGGTGGAATGAGGGACCTTTTTATCTGTTTTCCATCGGGCAAAACGAGTTGCCTTTTGTACGGCGGTCGATAAAGAGTGGAAATGATGATCCCTCAGGATGAGCCCAAACGTCGAGGGAACTTTCAGACGACGTTGAAGGCTGGTCGTTTTAACGACATCGTGGATTTGCGGCAGCGGCGGTGACGACGGCGACGGCGGTAGCGGTTACAGCAGTATACGAGGGCGGTGAAGGTATGGCCGTTTTACCACGCTCGTATAACGAATTATAAGGTGGAGGTCCTACCATCGAACGACCACGGGAATCTGCCCGACACTGGAATAATCTTACGGCTATATAACGCTACTTTCCCGAGGCAGTGATATCGTCGTTTTGGAAAATCGCTTGTGCGACATTGCTCATCGTCAGGTTACATATTGCCCTTAGTTCGCCATGTGTGTCGAGAGGAAACGAGGCAAGATATGACAGAGTTACTGCGATATTTGCGCGCATGAGTAGGTATACAAATTACATCGTAAACATAACTGCGCTAATTAATTAATTAATAATTAGGAGAGATACGAGTAAGAATTTTTTCTAATATATATAATGTCATTATATATATTTTGTTCTTTAATCAAATGAAACTCAAGTACTCGAAATAATCAACTTCCGTCGAATCTGAGTCGAACAATTTTCACTACTGTGTATCCACTCGGTTTAATTTTAATTAGTAGAACGTGAGTATTGTTGCAAGTTGTTTAGAGCAATTAAAAGTAATTAAAGTACACCTGTCTTTTTTTTTTACAACGGTTCGCTGCATTCGGGCGTAACAAGCGATTTTTCTGACCCGCCTTTCCTCGGTTCTCGGTGGAGTTGGAAATTTTTAAACTTCCAGATGTAAATACTGCTCGATCGCGCGAATGAGCAATGAAATTGTAGACGATTGTGTAAATAACATAAGGTACATGTGTACAATATCATCCAGCGAGACACATACACGAGGTGTGCAAACATACTGTTTCCACGTTTCTTCGACGGAATTCAATATTTGTCCCTCCCGAATGAAAGTGTATTATCGCGTATCAATCAAGAAGAACAAATGTTTGCCGAGGGGTGGAGGTACCTTCGACTTCAACTCGTCGTCGGCGAGACGACACTCTCGAATGACTCGAATACGACCACCCCATGTAGGAAATCGCCTATCGATCGAAGGATTAATTATCCAGCGATTAAATGTCTGTCGGATGGGACTTTGATCCGTAACTGTGATCGTATCGATGCGATAATCACACAATCGCTCTAAGGTCGATTTAATCGGTGTGCTCAGTTCATATTGCAGTCAGCGAGACGAGCTGTTTAAATTGTATCGCGTCTTACTGATGCAAAATGCACAAGCATTACGTGATTCGAATCTTGTCGCGTCGCATTTTGTACAGGATGTTACTGAAATACTCAGACGAGCTTTGCTGATATTCAACTTGATCAAATTGACGCTGATTTTTCCTTAATGGAAATTTGATTTTGAACTAAGTTTCTCCTTTTAACTTTAAATATTAAATACTCTAGCAACTTGGTCGCCAAGGTATTTAATATTTAACTTGAATCGGAATTCTTCTAAAATAAATCCGAAATTGGATATAGGATTTCGATAGTTGCAGGTCCACATCTCTAAAATCTAATCTACGGATGAATTTTTCATTTTAAATCTAATCGCTTCAAACATATTGATATTTTTGATAAGGAAAAATAAGCTACAAATTGTTTGTAGATTACATTTACAAAGTTTATCCAAGCATTTTGGAAGCACCCTGTATACGAACGAATACATGCGGGAATTGTCAGCGTCTTTCTTCGCTTATTTCTACGTAGACTTCAATTTTGAATTTTGCGAGGATAGACGGAGTGGCAAATCGGATTTCCTGAATTGTCGAGATCTCCGCTTCTCTCGGGAAAGCATCATCGAAAACCAGTTTGAACGGCTGGGTACACGTGGTCGATAAATAGTCAGACGAAGACGTGCGAGTGTCGTTGAAGGATTCGCAACTTGTGAGGTGACGCAATAGATTTGTCTGCCACGGTTTGCAGCCGTTTTCAGGACAACGCACAGTTTTGCATATCACGCTCACGTCCTTCGCCGTGATTTTTGCAGGTCCGAGAGACGTTTTTCAATTATATAAAAAACTGAATAGTCATCTCGTCGAGAAATCGCTGAAAATATTGGCAGCCAGTCGGATATTTACGTGTCGTAAAGTAACATTTTCAGATGTCTGATGATAGTCTGTCCGTATATATCTACTGTACGAACGATTGTGATGAGTTTCATATCGCGAATATAACGTTTAACAGGCCTCGAGTTTTCAAGTGTTTTTTTCTTCGTGTAACGTCTAATATCAATTTCCTTGTTGCGGAATGGCTCGTTTAAAACAGGTCAGTTTCGGTCTTAGCTCGCTGAATGATGCCACTTAAACGATAACTAGTTGCTTGACAAATTGGCATGACTCGTTCCATTCTGGGATTATTGCGAACTGTGAGTAAAGGACGTATTCCAACTTACAGCATACTGACGTCACTGACAGCTGAGAAGTTTCCTCAAATAGTTCTACCGCAGTGCAGCAAATATTGAAACGCGTCTTTTCAAACTTTAAGGCGACGATGTTATTGCTGCGCTATTCGCACACTTTTATCGATGTTTATAAAGTTTAATTACTAGCCTATTTCACAGCACGCAATGGCATACGAAGCAAACTTAAATTAGCATGCATACGAGGGCTTTGACATCGAGACACAGTAGAATTAATATTCACAGCAGGGGTAGCGAAATCCGAATCAGGGTGCAATCATGGTAGCTGTATATATAGCGGAGATATAGTGTTAATTATGTGCCAAATAAATTAGCAACTTGTTGATCGTCATTAATACTCGATAAACCTGGTCAAACATCCAGACCGTCCTTTCGAGAGCTCGGAATACTTATAAGCCCTAATAACAACGCGTGTAACGCGACCCGTTTCCGTTTCCTGGATCACGCGTAGGTTTAAACACCGATATCCCTAATCGATGTTATACATCGCGAATGCGAATCACGCTTTAGTGTAACGAACGCGGGTAAACGTGCGTCGTTGTCGCAGCACATTGGTACTTCGTGTGATCCAGAACAGAAGGTAGAGCTTGAATACCGCGAAATAAAGAGGCAAGAATGAGACGCGGTGTACGCGTATTGTTTTAATGAAACGGAAGAAGGCGACACTTCGACGCAGATAAAGATACGTGAGTTAAATTAAAAACGATGAAACGATAAAATTTATTAAAATAAAATATGTCAAATGTGCGAATAGAATTTATACATGTACAACATCTTACATAAATAATAGATAATACAGATAAAATCTTCACATATCAAAATTACCTTTCTACGTGCTTCTGATGATATTTTAACCCTCCGTTTATAATCTGGATCTTTTTTTAGCACAAGCGAAATTTCTCTCTCAAATTATTCCAAAATATAAAGGAGAGCGGAGTCTGGTCTCTTAAAATAGAGAGTTGCTTGGTAACGTAATAGAAAAAAGTAACCCTCACTTTTTCGTACTTTTTGAAAACTTAAAATAGCAAAAAAACTTGATTATTTATTCGCAGTTATTTCCTCTCATTTATCCTTAATTATAAATTTATTGTTTGAATTTTGGGAGTTCGATTTGTTAGTCAGATTTTATCGGTTTTTATAAAAAAAACTCAGATTATATTAGGTGTTGGAATTAATTCGTAGCGTTTTTTAATGAAAGAATGTTATTTATTTCACATGAGCATTAAAAAATACATTAATGAAAGTACTTCCCATCACTTGTAAAACGCTACGAATTAATTCCAACACCTAATAAATGGAAGGTTAAATATATCTCTTTCGATCGCGCGAGCTATATTTTTCTTGTGCGATAACAATATTCGATAACAATATTAAATAAATGAATGTGATCGACGGTGTTCCCATAGATGATTCATTGTATCCTTTCTCACTATATTTAGTACATCCAGCCTCGTGGCTGGCGCGCTTATATCGTATCTCGTTTACAGAACTCCGGCGTATTGTTGCACTATCCTGTTCCACTCCTTCGGGAAGGATCGCTGAATGTGAGAAAGGACCTTCTTGATCTGACGTGTCTCTTCGGGACTGCACTGCGGGCAGGAGCCTCTCAGAACCAGCGGCACTAAACCTGGATAAAATAACGACGTAGGATTTCAACAGAATTTTCGGGTCGGTTTTATGTACGTAAAGCGTATGTGTGCAAGTTTCTCTTGAGATTCATGTGTGTGTGCACAATATTATCGCAGAATATAATGATATTTGATGTTTAACATTTCCGCGAGTGTATACAGTTTGTCCTGGAATCTCTGATGTTAATTTTAACCTTTTATGAGGTGAGCGTGGAACGAAAAATAAGGACGGAAGAATAAAAGGGGTCCGAAAAGCGAATAAACGTTTATGGTGCAAGTTTGGATAGTTGAAGGTAATGCTCAATATTTAACGCTTTCGATAAAGGATTGAGACTGATACGATCTCACTGAGAGCTCAGGTTCTGCTTCCACAGACACACGAAAACGTTCGACCTCTATGTTTACCTTACGACGACGGAAACGTGACAATTAGCGTGATGTTCTTGTTCGCGTATCTCTCACAGAAGGAAATTGAACTCACCGAAATTACATGGAAATTACACCCGTCGTAAACTTTGTCTTGTAACTATTCCGATACGATAAATATTCCTAATTTTCTCTGAAAATACCGAGCATCTTCTATTCCCGTCTTCTCAAAGTACACTGTAAAAGTCGATCGCGTTTTTTTTTTACTCGTGCCTCAGGATCGATGATATCAAAGAAGAATTGGAATTTTATTCCAAGTCCTGTTTGGGATAATCGCGAGATGCGATCTCTCCGCGATAACGAAGTCTGACTCGTACTTTTTAAACGTCGTCCGACGGGATCGCACGGCGCCTCTCCCAGGGCGCACTTAAGCTGTCTGTTCAAGTAACGTTTGTCGCTCAGGGCCACGTTCAGTTGTTCATCAGAAACTCGCGATCTGCCAGATTGCTGCCCCTCGCTATCCGATTCGGTAGCCATCGCTGTAGCGAGCAGAGTGCAGGCCAAGATGAGGATCTGCAACATAATTATATGTATATGCAAATACGTGAATCACAATAGTGTACCAATTATTATTATAACTACTGAATCTTATAACGTTGCTGAAATGCGAGTTAAAACGTTTCAAAATGTTTCTTGTTTATCGGATTGGTATACCGTAGTTAAACGAATCCAGATTTTCTACAGCGTTTCACAACAGTCCCACGATTCCATTGCCTCTCGGATTTTCGCCGTAACGCCGTGGAGCGTAAAAAAGGGATTGCTGTTTCACGCGTATTGCGGGCGAAGCGCGCGACGTTAAATTTATTAGCTCCGACGATATCCCAACGACAGTGCTTAACGTGATTACACCATCTGCAAGTATTATGGTAAACGGGTTCCCCTGGCTTTAGGTGGGACACGGGAGACACAGAACGGAGCGTGCGCGCAGAATATACCTGCAATGCCCCTGTATGGGGTGAAATTAGCTGCGCGGCCGTCCGACAATAAGGGCGGAAGCACGTCTGTCATGCGGTAACGAAAGCGGATAAGGTAGGGCTGGCCTGCAGGCGAGGCGGTGCGCACGCCAAAGCTAACACGGCTAAACAAGCAGCAACCCACCGTCGTGCCGCTGCTATACGACGGTGGGTATGCGAGTAGTTCCAATCTCTGTTTGCTCGTTCTTCTCTCTCCTCCCTAGTCGCGTCGTGTCGCTCATTGTCGTCGTCGTCGTCGTCGTCGTCGAGACTTAACCAAGGTTGCCGCTTTTAAATTACCTCCTTGTCGCCCGCGATGATTCTCTCCTTTTTTTCATAAACTCACGGCTATTCTAATTCGAGAAGTGAATTTTCTCCCCGCTCAGTACCGCATTTGTACCGCAACACGTTCACCGTGGTCTTTCTCATTAAGGATGCTTCTTGAAAGATTCAGCGGACGCTAACGAGCGTTCGCTAATTTCATATTTATGTTATTGCGCGGTACGATACTATTATTTCATTCGGATTAAAGAGGATTTTTTTGAGCTCGCGCGCGGCCGCGCAAATACCTGGAAACTACTTAAATACTTCACATGAACCGCGTATTTATAGGATTGAAACTATTTACTGGATATGAAGTCGATGTTGAATATTGGATACCACTTATGACATTTTCAAAACATCAAATATGTACACTACATGATGGGCATTTGAAAAAGTGAATGCCTGTTTCGAACTGGATATACGTATATATAGGTATGTTTAAAAGTACCGACAACCGCTGCTCGATGATGGTCCTGCCGCTGGTGATAGTTTTTATACCTCAAAATGGGATATGGGTCAATTGGCTCTTTTGGATTTGTGTGGCAATCGAAAAAGTGTACGTACGTCCGCGTGTGTGTATGTATATATATATATGTATGTGTGTGTGTGTGTGTCACATTGCTTCGTAGTCGTTAATAGAACGAGTTTATGGAGACGCGTTTGATTATCCGACACGATAGTTCGGGCGTAGGAACGTATTTCTAGATTATTACGAGCCCGTAATATACCTGAACCCGTAGGCAATCGAATTCCTTCGCGCGCTGTTTATTGGATTCCTTTGACATCCTTTGTGCTACGTATTCGCGCTGATCGAGGTCCTCTTTTGCATATCTCCTCGTAAGTAAACCCGTTTGGAAGCCCGAGCTATTCGCGCCGCGATCGGAAACGTATGATTCGCCGACTAGACTTTTGTTTCAGCTTTTGTTTTTATTCTCTTTTGCTGTACGTGCAGCGTTATAATTTGAATTTTTAATCGCCCGCCGCGCCCTTTCACTGCTTTCTCCGGCCTGGATTTCGAATAACCTCGGGCTTTACGGTCGTCCGATTTTCTTTCTTGCCTGTGCGACTTTTTGCGTACGCGTGTAGCTCGGTTTACGATCAATTTTTTATGCCTTTTTTTCATTGTAACGCTAAGTATTCTGGATAATATATGCGAGATTGAATACCAAATTCCTCCCTGTCGATTGCAATAGCCTTCTCGGTGACGAATTGGCCAATTCAATAGGAAGACGGAAAGAACGATTTTTCTGAAATATCTACCAAAATTTAGTTAGATATAAAAAATTCTAAAAATAATTTTGTTATACAGTTAAATAATTACATAGAAAACTTGAGCATAATTAACAATGCTCTAAAAAAAATTGTGATATTCTAGCAATCAGTTTGAGAGCTCTATATAATTATTTTGACAATTCAATAAAATGATTTTCAGATTCATATTTAAATTTGAATTAAATCTTTAGATAATTCAGCAAAACCGTTCTTCTCGTGATTGCATCGCAAGTTCTTCTGAAATTCGTCAATTCTTCAATTAAAAATTTGAATAGAATAATTGATCTTTCTCTCTCTCTCTCTCTCTCTCTCTCTAAAATTAACTGTAAAAACTTCACATTTATTAACAATGTTGCATGTCTAGCAATACCAAGTCTCACGACCCAAATGTGGCTTAATCATAGCATAATTAGGTTTTACATTTCAGGTCACATTTAGCACACTCGCCTCCGTCCACCTGATTTCCCGACGGAATCTCGAATTTCGACTTTTGTGGCAGAATCCTAATAATCGCGACGGCTCCGTAAATCACAGCCCGCGCCACGTACATATATATGTATATATATATATATATATAACGTAGGAGTGATTTGTGGATTTGAGGCGGGGGTGCGCTCGCGCAAAACCGCTTACTTCCGCAAACCGGTGTGGATTATAAGAATTATTGCCCGTTCTGAATGGCAAATTGGCGTCGATATATAGATTTTATCGCCGGCACGTCGCGTTAATATCGGTCCTCCTCGCACGTTATAATGCGTCGGAATGTTTAGTCCAATGAGTGCCGTGCACTACATTCTCTCTCTCTCTCTCTCTCTTTCTCTCTTCATCCGTTGTACATACGGCGATTCGCATACGGGCCGTTAATTACAGTCGTATTGAATGTAACGGCTGATAATGCGCCGTAAGCATACGACGCGACGCGTCGCGAAACCGCACTGTTGGTACAGTATTAATTACGTTTATTGCCCGTGCCCGTATATTGCAATAATTACGAGCAGTTATCGACACGGCACTTTCACCTCGCTTCGATTACGATGATTTACTCGCGTCGCATCGCGTCGTCACGTCTACGCGCGTTGCAAACGGCAATTCGCAGTTATAAATTAATAATCCACATTCACCGCGAATGGAGAGTACTCTCATCGGTGAATGGTAACTAGAGATATATCAGCGGAAGCAGTCCTGCAAGCTGCAAGTTATACGACCGATATCAGCGTCGCCGTTCGATAAATAATAATTTAGCGACGTTCCTTCCCCTCGGCCACGTCGGTGCGGCATTATTTGCGGCCGCGTTAATTTACGGTTATCAAACTAATTTACAGTTGCTTGGCGGTAATCGAGATAAACTAGCGAGATTGTCGCCGGGAGTACGTGTCTTCTCGTTTTCATATTGGTAAATAATATTACTAATAAATAACACAGCTTGCGCACTTTCGAGCACAATATTCATGTGGAGCAATGGAGAACAAAATTAATAGTAGATTGTAGATTAATCTCACTGTCGAGCGAAACCGTATTCGAACGAAATTTTAGTGTATATTTATACTATAATTAAGATAATTTCTCATCTTATAAAATTGTTGATTTTAAGAAGACGATTAATGGACACGCACATTTATCTCGTTCATCAATTTACTTGTGATGCAAAATGTATCTTTTTCAAACTCTTATTCGCAAATTAGAATAAATTATGAAAAAATAACGTTAAACGTTGTGCAAATTTTATATTAATTTATTTTCTACTCGTCGTTTGATATCACATATTTTACAATTTTATATGAAATGTAGAAATTAAAACTAATATAATCATTGCTATTTCGTTTTTCATATTTTATTAAACTTGAAAATAATATTATTGCATCTAAATTTTATTTATTCGTCGTTTAAGTGCGCCTTTAAAGTGGTTGCATTGAAGATTACAAAATCGTTGAACAATCTTCTTTGCGATTGTCATTCAGGTCGGGCAACGTTTCGACACCTTTTGCATAAGTATACGATTGCGATATGTATGAATTATAATGTTATCGCATTGCCGATAAGCTGTTGCCAATCGCGTCGCACATACAGTTATCGTGCTACGTGCAAAAATTCGATAATTTGATTTTATTACAACAGGAATCGCTATTTCTTTTTCGTAAGATTCGATCCTAGCCACTTCTTGCGAGCGTGTACGACATGTCGATTACTTAATCTTTATATGATTCGACAGACATAGTAATAACATTCTCAAGTTAATTAAATTTTTCCTATATAAAGTCTATCATATAATTATAAAATGTGTTTTACGATTTTTTATATATGTATATAACAAAATATGCCAACTATTTAGCTTTTAGTCGCATCTTTTTCAATCCTTAACGTATCAAAATTTAACGTATAAAACAAGATGTAATTAACGATTTTTATATAATTATTAGTACAAAATTTTAGATCGAGGGACGCGCAAAAATATTGACCTAATTTCGATAAAAGTTAATATCCTGTCGTATTTAAGCAAATTGGTAAAAATATATAATGTGTCTATTTCATTAATTATAGAAAGATCTTGATGTGGTATTTCACTTTTTGTTTTTGTCATTTCTGCATTTCCGCGCATTATCGGCGCGGTGTATGTACATAATACGAACAACCACTACGCTTTGTGAACCAAAGCAATTTTACAGTGCGTTACAGTATTTTCCCGCACAAGATGCAATTACTTTGCATCGTACGATCGTTTAGCTGTACAAAAGCACATAACAATGGAACATTATTGGTTTAATCTAATAGCGCATTAATCCGAGCCTTTGCATACATGTCTAGCAAACATTATTTCATTCCAAACTCGGCAATGTAGCGTATAAAATCTTTATCGACTTTCAATATTTGCTTTATCTAAATAGGATATCTATACATGAACAGTAAGAATGATCAAAAATTGTTCCACTCTTTCGGTAAAAACAAGAATCGCGGAAATACACGTATTTTCATGAAATAAATTAAACAAATTATTATTATTATTATTATTCTTAATATCGCGCAACGTATGTTACCTCATTATTTACTTAACATTTACTTCTCGCCATTGCCGTATTATTTTTCATAAAATATTTACAAATTTTGATTATGATACGCGTTTTTCGTAATTTATAAAGACTCTCTTTTTTTCATATAAATATGTCAAGATTGATAATCCCGGCCTTAATTTTTTTAAATATATAGATATTCTTCGTGGAAGCCGCGACGCAGTTTCCGCGACGTTCCAAGCAAATATACAATTATGCAAAGCGGTGCATTTTTTGACGCGAATTTATTCGTCTCCGAGTAGCCATTCGTTGCGGTGTAAAACGCATTACAATAAAAATAAATCGTGCAGAAGCGGCGGTAGACCCTCCTCTATCCTCAAATACTCCTGTCGTAAATGTACGACACCGAGCGAGAGTCCACGAGGAGGATCCTAAGTAGCTCGTACCGTATCCCGAACGTCCGATGAATAAGCTTCTCGAGACGATATCGCGCGGGGGTTTCTCGGATGGCGAGAATTTTCCTTGCATACCGAAACAACCGTTTCGCCCAGCTTCGCGTGCGCGAGTTTCTCTCTCTCTGGAGGGTGTTCTCCCCCGAAACTTTAAATCACTGGCCGCGTATATATATATATACATACATACATACATATATATATATATATATATATATACACACACACACACACACACACACATGTATATGTATACGTATAGGGTGTGCGTACCGCGCGCGAGAAAGTGCATCAACCTGTTGCACACGTTCGTCACTCACCTTGATTGCCGGAGCCATGCCGAAAGCCGGAGGTCTCTCGTCGGTGTTCAAGATCGCGTCGTTTGATCTTAGGCGGGACGAAAGAGTGAGACGGTATCGATCGCGGCGATGGTACAGATGATGTGTGTACGTGCGTGCAGTGGCGGCGACCTGCCGAGGAAATCTCTCTTCTTGTGCTCTTTCTTGCGGTCGACTCGGCCACAATCCTCTCACCGCGAAATCACGCGACGCACTGGACCCAAGAGAAGCGTACCACGTATTCGGGCCTTTCCTCCCCTTCCTCCCGATAAACACTAAAGTGCTCGTAGCGTACGTACACGTGATATATACCGGAGAATTCCGGAGTATTCCGGAGAAGTGCCTACTCTCCTGGTACCCAATACCGTTGGAAGGGGAAAAGGTGCGTGACGTACATGAGCGAGAGGCCACGTTTTTTTCCCTCTTTCATGAATACACGCATGACGGATATACGACCGGATGCTGCTATTTTATGCGACTTTCGTCGGACCATTGCTTTTTTTTTCCGCGGAAGAAAGGGGAACTGAGCTATTAAATATTTTCGCGAGCTCTCTCGGATAATGTATATGAAAAAGGAACAAAAGAAAGAATCACAGAGATATGAAATTTCTTGAGATTTTATTATTCTGAAATTTAAACTCACTGAAAGTTATTAAAAAATTGAACGAAATTATAATAAATAGTAAATAAATGGATAAATTAGAAAGTTGCTGGTGTCAATCTAAAGATCAAGGTTCAACTTTCAAAGTTCGCTTTGAGAGCCTCCTCTCGCTTTGATACGATGGATATTCGCTGAAAAATTTATATTTCTGGCATAATCGGTACACGAATGTCATTTTACCAAGCATATCGCAAGCTTTCAAGTTTTCCCTGGTGATCGTGTCGACATACGCGAGGCGGAACGGATTCGCCTCGCGAGTTGCATTTCTTGGAAAAGTCGAGGTGGATATAGTTAGGCAAGCCGCCTGGTCGATTTCACCCATTGAAGAAATCGGCTATTTTCATTTTGTCTTCTCGGCGGAAATGTTTCATATATTACGTAATTACGTTATATGTGGAGAGAGATATGAATTCGCTATCACGAATTTATCGAACTCTTCCTCAAAGCGCTTTAAAACTGCATAGATTAAATATTCTTATGGATAAAACTGACAGCGATTAATGCGATCCTTTAGCTTACTTTTACCTTAGCTTTAAAATATAGAACCCGTTTAAAAATGCTGTAGCTTTATTTTATTTATTTATTATCTTAATATTGTAATTCATATTATCTGAAGCATCTTAATTTGTTATCTTGATATTTCCTTTACAAACATAGCGACTGGTATATGTATATAAATAATAAATTATAAATAAAAATTGACTGATAAGAGTATAATTAGGTTTATTATTATCGATATAAAAATGTATATACAATATAAAAAATATATATGTGTATTTATAAAATCATCAAATAAGACAAAGGATTTTATTTCCGGTTGAAGCGAATCTTGGTGCTTTTAATATTCATATGCAATAAATTTTTGCAAATATATAAAGTTAGCTCTCAGTGCATATCCAACAGTATATCATAATAAAAATGTCACCGCGTGTGATTTTCGATACATGAATTTTCTGATTTATTGTTTCATATTTTTGATTTTTATATTTTAGTCTGTGTATTTTTAGTTAGATTATCTATTTTTTCCACTTTCAAAAAGATACTTTCTCTTTCCTTCTCTCTTTCTCTCTACTCCTCTTTTTCTCTCTGTGGACCTACTTGTTGGATGACACCGCATAATGATAACAAGCAGACTCACCTGGTGAACATTTCCACATTCCGCCAACAGAATTAATCATCGCCACATGAAGTAAAATATATTCGCCAGCATGTAAAAATACGCATTTATCTCGTTGTACGCTCAGGCGCAGGTCTCAGCTTTTTACACCGACTCTCCACCGCTTAATGTAGCATTTGCATCGCAAATTTCACCGCTATTTCCTCCGCCGGATACATCCGATCCGCAAAGTTGCATCGTTATAAAAGCAATCCCGATAAAATCACCGACCTGTCTCTCCTGCGAATAACGAGCTAACGAGCGTATTTTTCGGCGCACCGTCGTCTCGGCTTACCGGCGTCGCTCTCTCGCTCTGTCCCGTTAACCTCTATCTTTCTTTTTATATATATATATATACACAACCTGGAAGCACGGAAAGAGCTCCCGATAAAATCGACGAGTTTAATGGAGGTGATCGGTGCGCGCGATGTCGCGACTCACCGCGTTGCTCACGTTTGTATATTCAACGCAGTACTCGTTCCCGACGATAACGGGTTTCAAAAGCGAGTTTTGATAAAAAAAAAAAGATGAAGAAGAAGGCGCGAGAAGAGAGGCATGAAAAATACAGTTGTGACGATGAGAGAGCGAATGCGCCAATGGGTTGTCTCGCCAGCTTCGCGTTGACGCGATGGACCGTCGACGGAGAAAAATCGTGCCTTGCATCGATAAAGGTGACATCAGGTGGAATTCGGCTATACACTCTCGAGCCGAAAAATCTTGTTATTTTGTTTTTGTTTTTGCAGAATCAACTTCTGCAATAATATCCAAAAGAAAATAAATATACGTAGGAGTTGGATGAAATGTAATTAACTCAATCATTATCGAGTAATAAAATTAGTCATAATTATGATTACCAATATTTGTGATTAATCTGTATTCATGATTGATGAGCAACGGAAATAAAGATGAAGAGAAATTAATCATAGATTATGATTAAATTATCAGTTACTAATTAAAAAGTGAATATATTTTGGATGATGAATAATTCAATAAATTAACGGAGGAGAATTTTAAAAAATACCGGAGTTTTCATAAAGTTCTTATCTATTAATAAAATGCAAACGAAAATCTTCAAGTTAATAGTAAGAAACATTTAGAGACGTCTTACTTGAATGAGAGATAAAAATTCTTACGTAAAACTTGGACATTTGTCGTTATTTGCTTCAACTTTTTAATTTCCCGTATTAAATATTTTAACATCCAAACTTTGAATTAAAATTTTACTAAAACGTGAAGTTAAATGAAGAGTGAATTTTATTAGGTGTTGGAATTAATTCGTAGCGTTTTACAAGTGATGGGAAGTACTTTCATTAATGTATTTTTTAATGCTCATGTGAAATAAATAACATTCTTTCATTAAAAACGCTACGAATTAATTCCAACACCTAATATTTTACATTTATTTGCACTTTTCAAAATTTCGCAAAAAAAATATGCAGGCAAATAGAGCAAATAATATAAATAATTTAGATATTACGAATATTTCGCTACTCTTTCATTAGAATTTCTCAGATTAAAAAAAGAATATAACGTTCACATTTAATACGCCGATGGCAAATTCTCCGCGTATTAATCCAAAGTTTTTCAGCGTTTTGCTGGCGACATTCTAGAGAGAGAGAGAGAGAGAGAGAGAGAGAGAGAGAAAGAAAGAGAAAGGATGGATTCCAGGGCCTGTCGATCGCGTTGATTTGTTCGTTAGTTTCCGCGTAGAGGGATTTAATTTCCCGGGGAACAACGAAAAGTGTATTTTTGTTCCGGAGATTTTCGCACCGACGGCATCCAAAAGAGGGTGGATTCCGACAAAGTCGACGTGTCAATGCGATGGCATCCTCCCCCTTTCATGCTTCGATTTTTTTTCCGCGCTGCCTCTCCGTCATTGACTCTACCTTCCTTTTTCCTTTTTCGTCACCCCGACGAGGTTGTCGGGCGGGCTGTTTGAATGGGCGATCGTTTCGAGGCGATCCGATTGTTCCAACGGAATGAGTTTACCCTGAAAAAAAAAAGTGAGCCCGATGGGGAAAGAGGAGATCGATGGCTTATTGTGCTGTTAGTCACGTCGTGTGACTCTTCTGCAGAGGGGACGGGAAGAAAAGTGCGGAAGAGGCAACTTGATTCACCTCGCGTTGAGTTTATTTAACATTTGCAACCGCTTAACAGCCCAATTGGTTTTATACAGGTATATCCCTTTTGTGACGTGTCCCATGCATACTGAAACGTGCCAGCTCGTGGAGTGCGTGACAATTATCATTATTATTTCATTTAATAATAATTTAATAGCTTTATATATATATATATATATATATATATATATATATACTCGTATATGTATATATATACATATATACATTCCTACTTTATATCATGAATTATTATATAATTATTTAAATTTAATTAACTTTATGATTATGTAACTTCTGCAGCTACTACGAACATTTAGATATTTCTTATTATTCAATTTAATAGGTCGATTGTATCGATTTAATTATATTTACAGTTCTCGTCTTAATCGATCGGCGCAACAATAACGTAATCAGATAGCAGGTACTGCGACGTAACAATAACGTAATCAGGTAACAGGCATTGCGATATATTTATTAGAAAAAAATTGTACTTCCTAGTGCGGGACGGTGGCGTACAGTCCTGAGAGAAAATTACGAAAACTAGCGCCGGTGATTAAGTCGAATTTAACTGGAAATGTGTCGGACGTAAATTTGAGATATCGCGCGAATGTGGTCGTGTTAATTTCTTTTTTTTTTCCGTCGTTATTTACCAAGCTATCGGAAAAATTCAACGGTTTTATCTTTTCCCCGGGTCCGCGCAAATGGTTTTTCCGTTTCTACATGGCGCGTGTAACAGCCATAACACGCGTGAATAGTTGTGAATAGTGAATTGCATAAATAAACGGCATTTCGCGCATTTCAATTCGTGCAGGGAAACGAATGCCTTGTTGTACGTAGCGCCATTTATATATGTACATGCACACCTCGGCAATCGGTCGCTGCGCTGTAAATCCTTGACTGCCAAGCGAACTTGCCTGTGAGGTGGATCAACGGACGGTTAAACCGGTAGATTAGGGACGGGAAAAGGATGATGCTTGTTTTAACCCTTCTACAAGGGTTAATCTTCTCCCGGAGAATTCGTATAACCGGTCCCGTAGCTTAACAAGGGGATTTCCCTCTGAGAATATAAATTTAGATAAACAAGTTTTAATCGCATTTTGTTGCTGGAAATTTCACCGCCGCAACGTTAACTGCAATTTAATTATGTTAATTTTAAACGAATTTAGTGGGCATCGTCATTATTCGCGCTCGTGCGCGTGCGGAATCGGCGGGAAAAAAAATTGCGTGCTTAAATGTATGAGATTACACGCCGCACTGCTACCTAGTAACGGTGTCGAGTTACGCGAAATTAATCGTTTAACATTAAATTTATCGACAGAACCGTCCCGCTTTTGAGCCGCGCTTGATATTGGCTGGATTAAATAAACCGTCCGTGTTATTTAAATATTTATTCGGGGGAAATTACTCGCGTCGGCTTAATAAATTCAACTATGATTTCCCCGCAGACTTCATCTCAGTAAATTTCGAGGCGTTGAACGTTAGAAAAAGAGTAGATAAGAGATCTTTCTTCCTGCGGATTTTATTTTTACTTCATTTCGTTTAAAACGTAATCCGATCGAGCTTCTTATCCCCAAAAATCCGCTGAGTATCCTCTATCCGATGGCAGTAGTGATTTTGTAGATATTTTCACGTAATTATAAAAATGCACGTTCGTCTTTTTTTTTTGTTCAAAT